GTCGTATTTGACTACCATCTGGACCATCTGCTGCAGTCTCAGTGAAACCTACCTGACCTAGCTTGTACTACCACTAATAACGACGAATAATTATTTTCTCGTTCTTTTGCATTAGTTAACAGAAGATGAGCTCGCTTGGGAAGAAAAGACAAGCAGACCTGGTCGATTAGATTTTTCAAGGTTTTTACAATTCAAATAAATCGTGCACAATTACCACCTCAAGATTGGCCAAGTCACAGATTCCTTGCAAAAATAATACCCAAAATTATACTCAAACTTGTACTAAAATAGAGGTGTGCGCATTAAGTACTGTCATGTCTGTAGTAGACGGACAGACGGTGGTCAATCGGCAGGTGAAATAAAAGACAAAGTAATTTTAATATTTTTAAACTGTAAAATAATTGTGTTGTAATGGTAGCTACTACATAGAATAATGCTCAACACTAAATCCTTTGTAGAGCAGTGAACTGAATCAGAAAGAAGAACACTTGCATGAAGATTGCCAAACTACATGAAAGTTTAAGTAGAAACAATTATACTGTTTTTAGATTAAGTACATGTATAGTTACTATAACATTTTTCATGTACGTTAATTTTCTTGCTTTTAAATATGACAACATTTGCATGTGAAGGTTTTAATCGCCATCTGCCACTCTGCAGGCTGCTTCATTTACTGTTCAGAGTACTGTGGATTTTCCGAACACTAATGAATGCATTGAAAGGAACGAGGTCAAATGTCAGTTCTGAACTTTTCTGACTACCACTCTCCTCCGCAGAGGCTTGTCATATTGGTCTTGGGAGGTTTCAGGCATTGATTCTTATACAGTAAGTCATACACGATTTTTTTACGGCGAGAGAGGGAGCGCGTGGTACACATTGTGAAATTAAGGGATACAAAATGCCTTACATTTTCCAGGTTACAGCCCTCATGTTAAATTATTACAAAAGCATAAATAAACTAAAACCGCGAACTGACTTCCCTTAATTGCTCCCGCTCGCGTTTACCAATTGCCTGAATGCCTTACATGTTTCCTGTGTACAGCCCTCGTGTTAAATGATTTTTAAAGCGTGAATAAACTAAAACCGCAGAGGCCTGGGGAGGAGAGAGCTTACTACCCCCAATATTTTGAGTCGGGATACAGGTATGCACATTCCATTACAGAACAGTGTTCTGACTGTTTCAGAACAGTACATTGAGCAGCATGCAGGTCATGCATGCGCGTTTAATCAGCCAATAGATACTTTTTTCTGTGTGTGTATTGTTATACGTGTTAATACATGCGCACAACACTACATGTAAAGAACAATACTGATAATTAGTTAGAAAATTACTAAATAAAACTTCTTTTGTTTCTACTTGGTGCTTTGAAGCAGAAATAGTTTTATATCTGCCTAGTGTACTATAATTGCATAAAGAGAATCAAAATGGGTTTGATTGATTGCAGCTAACATTTTTTATATAGTTGACTGGACAATAAACTTAACTGATAACTATCGTTATTGTTTTTGGTCCGGAACTGCCGGTCCGTAGCAAATGGAGCTTTCTTATTGGTTCTTTTCGGAGTCGGTATCACACCAGTTCGGACCCTTTCTTTTTTCGCGTCAAAATAAACATAGGCCTAGAGTGTTTTCAATTTTCCAATTTGAGGACTATCGGAATGTACAATCTTGTATTTTCCAACTATGCTATTCATTCTAAATATTATAGATCAAAATCACAAAAAAATGTCCATCCCAGTCAGGTGGGATGAAGCCTTCATATGGAAAATTTTAACCCACTTTACTGTCATCCCAGTAGCACATGCATGGTGAGATCTCACCCGTAATAATGTAAACACAAATTGAATTTTATATGCGTTAACGTTAGCAAAAAGAATGCAGATCTCACTCGATGAGTTTCCCGGTTAGCCGGGCTCATGAATGAGGGGTCTGGTATAATGGGACAACAAAGTTCATGCGCCAACATTGAAATGGTTTCTCAGAAATGGGCAATACACCTACTGGCCTCGATATCTGCCTTCTGGAACGACACCAGTCCTCAACATCTCGTTTGCACTTGAACCAAGAATATCGCATGTCAAGGTTGTACCGCTGTGTTTTGACAGTTGTGCCAAAATGTCCCGATAATCATGAAGGAATTGCCGGTAGTATACGAGATGCAAGTGACTGCGGGACTGAACCATTATCGTTTGTACAACGTTCCGTCCATTGCACTTACCAGTCTTTATGCATTTGCCATGTATTCATGAAACGTTTGATGTTGGGCTTGATATATATTCTTTGATTTCTTTCGATCATGAAGAACTCAACGATAAATCATGCCAATATCAGCATATTCCTCCGTAATACGGCAGTGGCGTACGACTAACTAGGGGGCTTCAGGGGGAAACCTTTGCAATGGATAGCTCTGCCACTGGGGTTAGCCAACCCCCGTCCCCCTCCGCTAAAAATGGATAAAGTGTGAATATATTTCCTATATATAAGCTGTGTTATATTCATATAGATATAGAAATGATAGAAAAAATGGTATTTGATCTATTTTAACAATATGTTTATTTTTACAATGGTATTTTAACACTGTGAGCTTTTTCCATCTGCAGGTAGTTCAACTCTTGAGTTCAATTATGCTTCAATTGCTGGCTATTATAGCTCTCTAAACCCCTCAACAAGTCATTCAAAATAACAAAAACTGCCGAACATGAATCAAGTTTGTTTGCAACATTTTTGCTGTTAAGTTCTTCAATTTTGGCAGAAAGTACAGGAAACCTCGATTTTTACAATATTCCCGGGGGAAGATGCCCCCGGACGTCCCTATTTTTAATGGTGCTCTCGTCAAATTTCAGGCTCCCTAACTTAGAATGCCTTCCTGCTGTTGCTCCACCGTCTATCGTGTTTACTTGAATACGCGCAGCGCTTAATTAATCTAGGCTGCACCGCCTGAAAAATTGTTCGTGACGCCCAACCGCGGAAGGAAAACGTACGCCCTGCGTATGAGGTTGCAATCTTTAAGAAACTCGGAACTCTTTTTTTTCATGCATTTCAATGTTTTTATGTTATATTTTTTTGCTAATATTTCTTGTCTTCGCTTACAAACAAAAGATTTTATAAAGAGCGCCCCCAATTGGGCGCCAATTGAGGCGCTGTCCTCAAATATGCGCCCAATCTCAAGCATCTACCATAATTAACTAATCACTTTAATTTAATAGCTGTTATCGTAATTGAATACGCCGCTGCGGAATACCAGCGGTATCTCAGTGGAAGTAGGCACGAAAACGAGGCTAAAGGGTCAAAAAACACAAAACATGACCCTATAGCCTCGTCTCAATGTTAAAATAATGCAGATACCGCTGGTACGTAGCGTAGACGTATTCAATTACGATAAGCCAGCATGACAATTTAGTCCCACTATGCAAATTCAAAATTATTATCATTCATTTCTTTCGAAATTGATTGTTTTCACAGTCAATGAACACGAAAATATTTGCATAGCGGGACTAAATCGGAGGGGCTGGCTACGCTACTGCTAGGGAACAAATTTACAATGGAACACGGAAACAACTTCAACAAAGCCAAACAATAGTAGAAAACAAGAGAACATGTAAGCTAGGGCAACATGTTGAAATCTTTGTGGGGAACATAGGCGTACGGGGCAGGGTGGTGGCAGTTGTCCCCCCCAAAAAAAAAAAAAAAAAAATTGGGAAACCAAGAAAACTCGGGCAAATATATCACAAAATACGTTAAATTTCATTTCAATATGTGACACAAATACGGCAAACTTTCAAGTGCCCCCTCCGGAAGGTATCAGGCCCGTACACTTAAGATGGGAAATAAGGGAACAAAGGAATGATCCATGAGGGGACATGTGGACAGAGAGTGGCCAGGGCCGTAGCTAGCATGTATAGTTGGGGGTGGCCAAAAATTTCCGAATGACGAAAAATATTTCCGAATATTTCATGGCATACGAAGCCACGAAGGTGTTTGCTATCTGGAAATGAAGATGCAATTTACAAACAAAAAAACACATAGTTTACGCAAAGACATATTACAGAAGCATGCAGTGCCGTAGGAAGCTCTTTTTTATTTTGGGCTGGATTCTGAAATGCCATTTCCTGGACTTTGGGTGGGGAAGTTTTGACAGAATTCTGATGGTCAGAAAACAGAGTTTTAGTATGATATTTGTGATGTTACTCTGAGTATGCATCCACAGCGGGCAAGCTGAAAAGTTTGCTTGGCCACGGTGGGAGTCGAACCCGCGACCTTTGTGATACTAGTCCAATGCTCTGCCGAACTGAGCTACGTGGTCAAGTCGGTTCGAGTTGTTAATAGAGTTTTAGTATGCCGAAATTTACAATTTGCTTACAATTTAGTAGAACTAAATGGACGAAGGCGTATTTAATTAACT